GGGCATCTTCCTACTGCAGGGCGATTACTGCTCCAGGGTGACGCTGACCCCCAGCTCAGAGTTCCCCACTCTGGACACAGGGGCATCTTCCTACTGCAGGGCGATTACTGCTCAAGGGTGATGCTGACCCCCAGCTCAGAGGATTTGAAAAAGTGAGAAACCACAGATCCCAGGTGGCTTGAGTTTAGTTCTGATTTTTTGACTGTTACAAGTTGGAAACTTGCACTTTTCATTAATTATTTTAAATGAGCTTCCCTGCAGTGCCCATATGCGCTCTGAGAGCTTTGCTGAAAATCGGGTTATGTTGCTGTGTTCCCGTAAGACCCCTCTCTGCAGGAAACATTTTTGTATGGAAATTATTCTTCAAAGCCTTAGAAACCCAGAAGACAATAATAGTCTGAAAAATAGAGACTACGTTAGCAATCGTGTTTCCAAATCTTCAGAGATCATTCGGGTATTTTGTTTTTATGTTACGCTCTCTTGACCTCTCATCCTATGAGACTCACAGTGCAGGGGGAAGCCTCCGAGACACACTTGAAGGTCTCTAGTTATAGGGTTTCACTTGGAAAGAACAAAACCAAGTTGCCAGAGACTCTGTCCCAAAGAGGTCTGACAGTGGCTCTTTCTCTGGTACCAGTTCTGAAGATTAAGATTACTGCAGGGGGTGGGGTGGGAGGTTCTCATCCACGGCACATTCAGGGTACATGTCCCTGGTATTCAGACTTTAGAAAAGTGATAAAATAAAAATACGCCTTTCCTACATTTCAATCTGTGGCTGTCCCTTCTGAGAGCTCGGATCAGCAAACAAGCTAATAAATCTCAACAGTGAAACCAGCTTTGTGGCTGTATCCTGCGGGGCCAACACGTGTTATTCTCATGCTTTTCTACTTTACTTTCTAATTAGTTGAGTTTCATGGGGAGAGATGATGGTGGTGGGCGACCGCCATGGAGGACTTACTTCCAGAAAGTGAGGGGAGCTCTGGAATTTGGGGACTCTTCTCCTCTGGCTCTTTCCTGAAGCATTTCTCAGGGTCTAGAAGGAAGATGGGCTTATTCACGTCCGGCAACTCCTTCAGGGTACCGAGGCTTAACGACCTAAATGTGCCTTCACAGCCGCAGATTTTAGGGCAGGGTAAGATAAAAAGTCCAATATCATTCATTCCTTATAAGGAGCGAGCACATTTTCAAGCTAACTTTTATAAATTGAACCTTCCTGTCCCTCAGCTGGTGCAGCTGCCATGACCAGCAAACTGGAAACACAGCTGTTGATAATAAATCCACGGTCCTTTGTATTCAAAGGGACCAAAAGCAACTCAAAGCTTCCCATTCATTTATTTCGTATTTGGTATTTTTCTGCTATTTCCCCTTGAAAATGAATATTCTGCAGTTTTGGAAAAGCTCCAGTTTCCCTTTTATCTACCAGAAAATTGCATCCTTTGTGAAGCGGAATCTATTTTTTGCAATGTTTAATTTAACAAAACATCCAAAATTTTGAATTTACAGGTACTTTTCTGTTCCATTATAATGTAAACCAGAGCTGTTTTATTATATTTATTATACACACAATGAGATGATGAAAATCTATTTTAATCATGCTCTTAAAAGCAAAGTTTTGGACACTTTGAAAAAGTTTTCTTTTTGCTTCCTGTGATAATTAGATAGTGGAATAGAAATCAACAAAAGCTTAATTCAAGGTATGATTTTGTGTTGGTTTAATTGTTATTTCCATGAAGGTAGGAACTGGGCTTTCTTCATCATGGTGGCTCAGTGTCCAGGAAAAGGAAGGGTGTCCCTATTTAGTGCCCTCTACAGAAGGAGCCACCTGCTGTGCCCACACTTCTCAAACCCTGCAGCCATCAGCGTCAACAGCAGGCTTGTTAAGACATAGACTTCTGGGTGCTACCCCGGCCTTGATTTAATAGGAGAAAGCTGAAGATGAGAGTCCTAAAATTTACATTTCTGGAATGATGCCATTGAAGCTAATGGTTCCAGCCCAGGACACTCTTTGAGAACCAATATACTCTGCTGAGTTAAAGTAAAATATCTTCCCAACTTGTGAGTTAACATTATGCTCTTAAGACCTCAGAGGAAACTGAGGCTCAGGATGCTTTAATACCTTGTCTGAGTCTATAGGGCTGGTAAATGGCAGACTGTGGGCTTAAGTCCAAGTATGTTCAACTCAAAAAGTGATGCTCTAAGATGTAACAGTAATAACGGTAACATTACTAGTAAAGCTGTGTTGAGCTTCTGTCATACACGGGGCACTGGCCGAAGTGCTTTACATACAATATCTCACGCAATCCTGACAAAAACTCTATGGAGTAGATTAGTTTCTGAATAGCCATTAAATGTTAATGACAACTGTACACTTTTTGATAGCAAAATTTCTCCAGAAAATTTAAAACCAATATATTTCCTTCATGACGAGGGCAGCTTTTCCTTGGACGTAAGTTGAGAAAAGATTTATAGTGATTCAAATATTTTTGATAGGGCGGTGCCTGTGGCTCAAAGGAGTAGAGCTCCAGCCCCATATGCTAGAGGTGGTGGGTTCAAACCCAGCCCCTGCCAAAAAAAAAAAAA